GAGAGTTGTTCTCTGGAATGTGAAAAGTCAAATCCACCCATGTATGGAGTTGTAGCCAACCCAAGAGCTATAGTAATTCCTTCCCTTTAATGCTGACAAGTAACTAGATGATTCAGACCTCATTGAGAAAATCTTGAAAGGCTAAATTTGTCTAACCAGCTAGGGCCAAAAGGAATTCTGTGGCAAAGCCCTAGAAAAGATCAAAAGTAGATCACCTTAACTCTAAGGTAGCAATAACCCTTCTTCCCTAACCAATGATAAGAGTACTCTCTCCTGAAAAAAGCCTGAAAAGCTTTGCAGTCCTCAACATTCACTGCTGCAGGAATTCACTACTACAAGTGGGCTGTGATCACTGATAAAACCAACTTTTCATTCCTGTCCTAGCTTTAATACATAATCTCAAATGTCCTTCTAAATTGCCTTGAAGTTCAAACATGACTTCAAATTAATGGTTTTTACACTGATGCTGCTGACCTATAAGTTAGGGCTGATCACGGCTACCATTCTGTAATCTCCTGCTAACAAATCAAACTAATTTAATTGAACTAGAAATCATTTTATTTGTGTGAATTTTCTTTATCTAAGATTGAGTATATGAGAATGTTGAACAAATGAGAAATGCGATTCAGATACAATCAGTAAACAAAGTTTATAAAACTGAGTTCTCTTCCTGTGTCACAAGAAACTATACTAAACACTCAAGATCCATCTGTATTTCCCTAAAGTTTAAGTGAGATCTTGAAGTTAAATAAAAAGCAAAAAGTGTAAATATTTTCAACAAAATTGAAAAAAATTTACAAGTTGGGAGCTTCAGGGGCACCTGGATGTGACTCCTGCATCAGACTCCCTGCTTGGCAGGGAGTCTGCTTCTCTCCCACCCCTGCTTGTTCTCTCTCTTTCTGTCTCTAATAAATAAATAAGTCTTAAAAAAAAAAAAAAAGTTGGGCGCTTCAGTATCTATTACTCTAACTACACCTACTATTTTTAAATAAAGCATTTTTTTCCTGTTGGCATAAACTACTTGTATTCCTTACAGATTGTATTTTATCTTCACACTAATAACATGCAAGAAGCATCCATACTTCCAGTAGCATCCGTCCCCAATAAATTATAAATGGAAGAAAGAAACCATTTCTCATTGCTTCTATCACCCTGTCAAAATGCTTGGCAAATAGTGACTTTCAAATAAAAAGTTTTGAGATAATAAAGTTTAAAACTCCATTTTAGGGGCGCCTGGGTGGCTCAGTGGGTTAAGCCGCTGCCTTCGGCTCAGGTCATGATCTCAGGGTCCTGGGATCGAGTCTCGCATCGGGCTCTCTGCTCAGCAGGGAGCCTGCTTCCCTCTCTCTCTCTCTCTCTGCCTGCCTCTCTGTCTACTTGTGATCTCTCTCTGTCAAATAAATAAATAAAATCTTTAAAAAAAAAAAAAACTCCATTTTATAGAACGCAAAATTACCTATCTAGGAATAGTTTAATATAATTGCCATATTTTTAATAAAAGTAATCTTTGATATTTCAGAACTTAGATGTTATCATTTCTACTTATTATTAATAGTGAACTTAAAAAACAAGAACTCTAGTACAAATAATACAAACTTTTCAAATTTAACAGTATACAGGTTTAGTGAACTTTATTTAATTTTATGCCTTATTTTGTTCAATTAATTAATATGGTGCTTATTACTAAAGGAGTTTGTATGTCATGGAAACAATATAACAAATACAACTTTTGATTATAAAATTGAAGATAATTAATAAAAATAATAGCTCATGGGGGTGCCTGGGTGGTTCAGTCGGTTGGGCATCCAACTCCTGGTTTTGGCTCAGGTCATGATCTCAGGGTCCTGGGATCAAGCCCCATGTAAGGCTCTGTGCTCAGCAGGTCTGGTTGAGGATTCTCTCTCTCTCTCTCTCCCTATGTCCCTCCCCTTGCTGGTGTTCTCCCTCTCAAATAAATAAACAAATAAGCCTTTTAGAAATAGCTCATAGACAAACCATAAGAGACTCCTAATTATAGAGAACAAACTGAAGGTTGATAGAGGGAGGTGGCTGGGGGATGGGCTAGATGGATGATGGGTTAAGGAGGGCACTTGTTCTGATGAGCACTGGGTGTTACATATAAGTAATGAATCACTAAATTCTATTGCTGAAACCAGTAATACACTATATGATAACTAGCTACAATTTAAATAAAAACTTGAAACAAAATGAACGAATCAATGAATGAATCAATGAATCAATGAATGAAAGACATCACTTGAAAAAAAAAAAAACAACCTTGTATTGGATGGCATCTTTCCTTAAAAAAAAAAAGCCCCCCCAAAAAAGCCCATATTTCCTGATTTGTATGTGACATGCACTGTTCCAAATGTTTTACATGCATTAATTTGTTTAAGCTTCACAAGTCTACAAGGTGGTACTGTTACCTTCCCTGTATTATAGATGAGGAAACAGCATTTAGAAGTAATTTACCCAAGATCCCACAGCTAATAAACAGTATAGATAGGTTTAATCCCAGGCTTGAGTTTGTGCTTTTGACAGCTAAAGCTATAATACATTCAGGGGAAGGGGTCAGGATTGTAGTTATTTGTAGGAATTTAATGTATAATTAAGATGGGATTTCTAAGTTAATGAAGGGAATTCAAAAAGTGATATTGGTGCAAATTGTTAACCATGTGGGAAAAACTTAAAGTTAGATATCTAATTCATACCTTATCCTAAAGTAAATTCTATTTAGTTAAAAAAATAAATATAAATAGTTTTTGATGAAAATACAGGTGGATATTTCCAGTCTTGGGCTACTTATGGCATAAAAACCAGATCCCCTAAAGAAGAAAGCTGTCTACCAAAAATTAAATACAAATGTATTGGGAGAGTTATACATGAATATAAAGTTAAAAGCCAAATTAATAAACCAGGAAAAATGTTTTGAGATATATATGATAAAGGTATACTATCCTTAAAACTATATAGAACACACCACCAGAAAAATATGCAGATGGGAATACAAAGAAATAAAAATAAAAAAGAAATAAAAAGAAGCAATAAGCATATGGAAAGATGTTTAGCCCCATTAGTAATCAAATAAATGACCACTAATAGAGTTTAATATTAGGAACAAGATTCTTGGGGTACACTCCCTATGTTTAAATTCTATCTCCCTCATTTAATAATTATGTGACATTGGGTGCCTGGGTGGATCAGTTAAGTGTCCAACTCCTGATTTTTGGCTCAGGTCATGATCTCAGGGTTGTGAGATCGAGCTCCAAATCAGGCTCCGCGCTGGGCAAGGAGACTACTTAGGATTCTCTCTCTCCTTTTCCTTCTGCCCCTCTTCCTGCTTATTCTCTCTCTCTCTAAAAAGAAATTAATAATTATGTGACATTGGACAAATTAATAAATCTCAACAAACCTCAGTTTTTTTCTCTGGGAAAACAGAAAGCACAAGATATACTGTTATATAAGAATTATTGTTGTTGTTACAAGAATTAAATGTTGTTGTTATAAGAATTGTTGTTATAAGAATTAAATGTATGTGAAATGCTTAGCACAATGCCAAGCATATAAACAACAAAAAGATGTTAGCTGCTGTGGCAGACATTGTGTAAGCTGACCTGACACCTATTTTCACACTTTTTTTCTGCAATCTCTATTACAAAGTGTGGAAAAGCTAAATAACAAGAACAACACGGTAGTAAAACCTTGCTCTCCCAGATTATTTTATATCTGGAAATCTGCTGGCTAACGTCACAAAAGTAGAAGTCTTCTAGAATGCAATATTTCTTCTTCCAGCCTTGTCTAGCACAAGGAAAATGTCAAGAGAAGTTTAGAAGCTCTGAACTTAAAGGTAGAAAATACAAATAACCCTCTATTTGTTTAAGCTACTATTAGTCATCCAAAGCATCTCTAACTAATACAGATGCCATTACTGTCATTACTATTGCTATTATTTCCACATTTGGCAAGGGTACAGGAAATCAGGCACACTACTCATCCTTATGGAATATAACCCTGCGATATGTGACAAAACCTAACACATGCATATGAGATCCAGAAATTCCACTCTAGGACGTTCTCCTAAGAAAATAATCAGAAAGGGGTAAAAGATGTCACACAAAGACATTCATTGGATAAACACCCAAGATAGCTGGTAGCCTCCGTATTTGTCAATTATTTTAAAAATAATTTAGCCTGGAAAGAATGGAGTAAAGTATAGACTGTCAGCCCTGGATGTTAGAAATTGGGTGATTTGTGTAGGCAAGTTACCTAACATCTCTGTTATTTGGTTTTCTCATCTGTACAATGACATCCAGCAATCCCACATAACAATGCTTCACAATTAACTTGACCAATCTTAGAGCCTAATACGCATTACTTTCTGTCAGATCTGCAAGTCAGCCAGGCAGCTACACCTTGGTCTGCTTCATACATTCCATCCAGGGCCCAGACTGGAGGGGCAGAATCTACCCAGGGCACATTGTTCTCCTGGTAGGTCAGGGTTGAACAAAGGGGAAGTCATATAACAGCCCCTCTGAAATTTCTGCATATGTCTGTTACATTCCACCAGCCAAAGTAAGTCCATGGTCAAGGTCAACTAGGGCAGAGAAGTATCCTCCCCTAGAATGGGAGGGAGAAGTACACTGTACTAAAATAAACTAATTTTGGTATTTTATCAAAATTATTTATTATTCAGTTCTTTCCAATAAGGGATGATGTGTTTAGAAGAGTAATAATTTTTATATTAACTGTATCAGAAAAAATTTCAATAGATTAAACATTACTGAAACTTGGCATCTTTGACTAGCATGTTATTATAGTAACATTTAACTGCAATGGTGAATTGTTTGCCACACTTCACAAAGATGAGAATCTCAGTAGGAACTATTTCTGCAGGAATCTGAAAAACTGAGATTAATTTTATGTACTGAAATAGGGAGCTATGTTAGGAAAATATACAGTTAAAATGAAGCCTAACGATGAGAAAAGAGAAAAAATATTACCTTTGCTGATAAATAGTGCTTGTAGTAGTACAACTGAAACAGCAGAAATGCAGAACTTGCCAAAGTTAAAAGCGCCAAAATCACGTTCTTATTGATTCTACTCATTAGTCTGCGGTGCTCACTTGGTTGTCTTTTGAGAGTAACCGTGTTCGTTTCATCTTTTTTGGATAAGAAGACACTCTTTTTTTTCTGTAAACAAAAAAGATATTTCTAAAGAAACAAAAACCTACTTTCAATTTTTCACCTCTAATAACCAGCACCACAACAAAGAAAGTTACCTAAAGTTCTACAGAACATTCGTTGATTTGCTAATTTCCTCTCCTAAATAAACAGATACAAGACCAAATATGAAAGAACAAAAATATTTATCATGGCATTCTACAAACAACAACTGCAAATAATAAACATAAATGGGTTATCTGTAAAATCTGACCAACAGAGATCTAGGGACTTCGCCTAGTTTCTGATTCAGTAGCCGTGGTATGGGGCTTCCAAGTATGCACTTCTGACAAGTGGCCAGGCCTTGCTGATGCTGCTGACCACATGAAGAACCACTTCCATAGAAGAAATTGAGAAAACTTCTGGTCAAGAAACTTCCTCTGTATGATAGCTTTTTGTTTTTTGTGATCTAGGATATAGTCAGTCTTGATAAGTATCTCATATATGTTTTCAGTTTTTTGCAAATGTAAATAATGTGCAAAGATAAAACATTTTATTTTTTCATCTTTGGTTGCATCTGACTATTTAGGATAAGAAATTTAATACAGTTCTACTTCTTTGTACCTCCTATGCACTATTTGATTTTGGTTAAACATATTATATTTAGTTTTCAAGTGTTCATCTTTATTCCTTTAAATATACTAACACCTCTATAACTTGATGTCTAAACTTTTTATCCTTTGTTCTCCAGCTGAATAAGAAGAGGAAATCAGCAAAGTTATACTTACCCTCCTGCTTTTTCTCCTCCTTCAATCTGGACTTTTATTAGTTATTTCTACCATGTTAGTTTTATCATATTCTGTTACCACAAATCTCACAACTATTTTGCTGTATCTTCCCTGTCATTCCTTTTGCTGAATCATCTCTGTTCATCTACTGAATGGCTGATATTCATCTTCTTACAGTTAATCAAAAAACTTATAGATATTATTTACCTTGAGTTCTTACATTGTTCAAATAAACTTGTCAGCTGATAGTTGGACTGAGATCATACTTTCTTTCCCCTGATGACTTGTAGGCTTTGTACCACTGTTCTATAAAGCTAAATATTCCCTTCATGGTATCTGATCCTTCCCCTAGGTCTCCCCTACAGGTAAATTAACCTTTTTAATGGGATGAACAGAGAATGCATTCCTTACTTCTGAAATCCAATTTTTTAAAAACTAGGCCACAGGGGCGCCTGGATGGCTCAGTGGGTTAAAGCCTCTGCCTTCGGCTCAGGTCATGATCCCAGGGTCCTAGGATCGAGCCCCACATCGGGCTCTCTGCTCAGCAGGGAGCCTGCTTCCTCCTCTCTCTGACTGCCTCTGCCTACTTGTAATCTCTGTCTGTCAAATAAATAAATAAAACATTTTTAAAAAAACAAAAAACAAAAAACAAAACTAGGCCACATAATGATGTTGATGACTGTATAGTTGACCCTTGAACAACATGGATTTGAATTATATGGATCCACTTATACATGGATTTTTTATAGTACAGTACTGTAAATTCATTTTCTCTTCCTTATGGTTTTCTTAATAACATTTTCTTCTCTCTAGCTTACCTTATAGTAAAAATACAGTATATAATACATTTGGCATATGTGTTAACCAACTGTTTATGTTATCAATAAGTCTTCTGGTCAATGGTAGGCTATCAGGTGTTTAAGATTTTTAGGGAGTCAAAAGTTAATGCACAGATTTTCAACTGCATTGGGAGGGGGTCAGTGTCCCTAATCCCCACACTGTTCAAGGGTTAATGTATACTAATTTTTCTTTATTACCTGCCCTTTTGATCTGTAGAACTAAGATTTCTTTAGTAGGAAGTTTCTTAAGTTAGACGTTTCAATATTTTTCTGTTCTAATGTTGAATTCTCCATTTCCAAAACAAAATTGAGCATTTGTTTCATCTCTTTTCATTCTCATTTCACTTTGTTCAACTTTCAAAAGCCTGTTGTCATGCCCCTTACTGACTTTTCAACAGTGTTAATTCTCCCTTTTGCTTCCAAGATGGCCATTTATTTCTCTGATTTTATTTTTCTTCCTTTTCTTTCTTGAGCTCTGCCAGAATATGATTTATTATCTCCTGTTGACTTACTATTTCTCCCTGACCAATAAACCTTGTCTATTATTTTAAAGAAATGATTGTTTCATTAAATTTGTTAGGCCAATACAGTTTCCTCATGTTTCTCATGTCACTTGTTTTTCCGTTTCTTTTTTCCTTTTTCTTGCAGCATTTTTGTGTAGATACTGTGCTTGTTTCTTTTTTATTATTTACCCTGAATGATGTGAACTCTTCTAGGATCAGTTATTTGCAAGAGGACTGTGGAAGGAAGAAGCAGGCTTGGTTCTAGACTAAAAGGTAGTCACTGATGTACAAGAAAGCATTTTATGACAGTGTTTTATGCATGTGTGTGTGAGAGAAAAGAGACAAAGAGAATGTGTCTGAGAACAAATGAGATAAAGTTGTTTAGCCATGACTTCTTGCTTCACCAAGAAAGTGTGTTCTGCAAAGACGGTTTATCTCTGTTTTCTCCTTTGCTCTTCCTTTCCTGGCAGTTCATGCAGCCCAACGATCCAAGGAAGCTCTCACTGCCCTCCTATACATCCTGATCCCACTATAAACACAAGTTCTCTCTCACGTTGCTCTACAAGCTCTGAGATCTCTTCCTACTAGTTCCCTCTTTTAATCTCTTCCTGCTTACACTGGACAATATTTCTCAAATATTTTGGTTTGGGGTTATAGGATTTCTGGTCTCATCAAAGACGTAATCTCTGTGTCTCATTCTCCTTGTTGTTTCAGGGTAATTTCAGAAAGAAGAGGGAACCAATGTCTCTACTCTGCCATCTTAGAAATCAAAAGTCTTGGCTTAGAGCCCCTAAATAAATAAATCTTTAAGAAAAAAAAAAAAAAACTTGGGGCGCCTGGGTGGCTCAGTGGGTTAAAGCCTCTGCATTCGGTTCAGGTCATGATCCCAAGGTCCTAGGATCGAGCCCCACATCGGGCTCTCTGCTCAGCAGGGAGCCTGCTTCCTCCTCTCTCTCTCTCTCTCTCTCTGCCTGCCTCTCTGCCTACTTGTGATCTCTGTCTGTCAAATAAACAAACAAAATCTTTAAAAAAAAAAAACAAAACTTGCTTTTTGCTAGCACGATCTCTTTATTAGGAATGTTTACCACTTTGAAATGAAAAATGTGATACTTACAAAAGAGGCCAAGGCTTATTGATTTTACCTCTAAAATATCTCTGGCATCAACTCCCTCTTCTCTCTTCACTGTAACTCTAACTTAGACTCTAATTGTACCTAATGTCCCAATTTCAACTGAACCCCCAGTCTCCACTTTCTACCTACCCATAACCTCACTTACACAGTAACAGATACACCAAGTTGCTGATAGATGAATCAAGACATGCCACGATAACAATTTTTCAATGACTCTCTACCACCTACAAATAAAATTCCAATTCCAAACAAGAGAATTCACAATCCGACTGAACACAAGCAAATTCTGTAGGCTTCTCCCACTTCATACACCCTGAAATTTTTGCCCAAGAATCCCTAGAATACATACTACACTTTTCTGCCTCTGCTTTTGCTCATTCCCTCTTACGTGAAATGCTCTCATCCATTTCCATAAAACTAGCTCAACACCTCTTTTCATAACTCTTCTCAAGTAACCCTTGTATAAAGTCTCTCATGCTCTTCTGAGTCAAAATTAATCTCTCCTATCTCTAAACCCCTAGTTTTACCTTCTTGCTGGGAACATTTACTGTTTACCTTATAAGCACAAAAAGCTAAGCACTGGAGATAAAATGATAAGTAAGATAGTTTCCCATTTTCTAAGACTTTAGAGATGAACAGTTCTCAGAAGAATGGTGGTGTTGATGGTGATGGAAGGTGTGATGTATCTACAGAACTGCATGGGAAGTTTTTTCCAAAATGTAAACCTCATTCCTTACCACCCCCACATCTAGTTTGTAATAGACTCTATTAGAAGCAAATATGGAGGCAATGTAAACGGTGTTATTGCTATGAAGACGTAGGCACAAGTTACTATGGAAGCACAAGGATTGGCTTTTACTACCTTCCATTTTGGATTATACTTATTAGTATAGACAATCGTTCCCCTCACCAGCCTAAAACTGACTGAATTAAGAAATAACATGTATGCTTAGTATACTCAAATACGTTGCACAATACTCAAGTACACAAAATTATTTTTTAAAGTTTTTATTTTAAGAAGTTCTCTGTCCTGCAGGAACTTTTATGTTAAAACAAAATATGAAATATGAAATAGTGATTTTTTTACTAGAATTTAAAGACCATAGTTTGTTACAATCCTGAAGAAGAAACACTTAAAAATAACATATGGAGAAATATAGCATAGAAGAAAAATAAAAACATTCTTTGTGTATACATTTCTTTTTATATGTGACATTTTACCTATCATAATAAAAGCTCTGGGGAGGATAAGCAATGTATTTTTTTACTTATACTTAGGGAAAGCTTCCTAAAAAAAACAGGATATCGTGTCTAATTAAAAAGAGGAGTATTGTAGAGTTAATAAATTAAACTGAGGGGAAAATAAAGGGAAAAAAGACAGCAAATGTTTTCAGAAAAATATATAATGCAGGGGCGCCTGGGTGGCTCAGTGGGTTAAGCCTCTGCTTTCGGCTCGGGTCATGATCTCAGGGTCCTGGGATCGAGCCCTTCATCACATCGGGCTCTCTGCTCAGCAGGGAGCCTGCTTCCCCTCCTCTCTCTCTGCCTGCCTCTCTGCCTACTTGTGATCTCTGTCAAATAAATAAAATCTTAAAAAAAAAAAAGAAAGAAAAATATATAATGCAGACACTAAGGGGAGTTAGAAGGTTTAAGTAATTCAAGGTTCTTCAAGATCTAAGCAGGGCACCTGGGTGGCCCAGCGGGTTAAGCCTCTGCCTTCAGCTCGGGTAGTGATCTCAGGGTCCTGGGATCGAGCCCCATA